TTAAGAATAAACATAACTGGAGATACAAAAGACCTGTACAAAGAAAACCACAAAACACTAAAAGGGACCTACATAAATGGAAGAACATGCCATGCTCATGGTTAGGAAAATTTAACATTGTGAAAATGTCATCACTGCCCAAAGTGACAAACATACAGATATAATGCAATCCTTATCCACATTCCTTCATCCTTTAAAAAGATTGAAGAATGACTCCCCAACTTTAAATGGAAAGGAAGGAGACCCTGGATAAACACAGTGCTACTAAAGAGCCCTGGTGTGGCACTGTAGGATAAGCACTCGATTGCTAACTGAAAGGTCAGTGGTTCAAACCCACCAGCCACTCCTTAGAAGCCTTATACAGGGTCTCTATGAGTCAGAGCTGACTCAAAGACATTTAACAAAAATAAAGGAGAACATTTCCAAATTTCAAAATACAGCCACAGTAGTTAAAACAGCCTGGTTCTGGTACAATGACAGAAACAGGCCAATGGAACAGAAAAGAGATCCCAGAATTAAATCCATCCACCTATAAGCAGTTGATCTTTGACAAAGGGCTGAAGCATATTCAATGGAAAAAAGATAATCGGCTTAATCAGGTGTTGGAAAAACTGGATTTATTTGCAGAAAATGAAATAGAAATCTCATACCAGATACAAAAACAAACTCAAGATGGATCAGAGATCCAACTGCAAAATTCAGAATTATAAAGACCATTAACAAATAGGGGCAAATTTAGGGGCCCTAACAAATAGCATAAAACACTATGAAACATTACTAAAATCACACAAACAACAGAAGACAAACTAGATGACTGGGATCTGCTAAGAATCAGACACATTTTTTTTTTTTAAAGATACCATCTAAAGATAAAAAAAGAGAAGCCAGAGACTGGGCAAAAAGTTTTTTTGGCTAAGACGTATTTGACAAGGAACTGATATCTAAAATTGATAGAAAAATTCAACACCTCAACAACAAAAAGACAAATAACCCAATTAAAAAGTGAGCAGAGGACATGGACAGACACTTCACCAAAGAAGACATTCATTCAGGTGGCCAATAAACACATGAAGAAATGCTCTCAGTCATTAGCCATTCAAACCCACTACCATCCAGGTGATTCTGACTCATAGTGACCCTGTACAGGGTTTTGAGCAGGAAACCTCATCTTTCTCCCCAGGATTGACTGGTGAGTTTCAACTGCCACTCCTGTGATGAGCAGTCCAGTGTTTATCCTATAGCACCACCATTAGCAAGAAGCAAATTAAAACAATGAGGTATCAAAGTTCAAAAGAAAAGAAAACAATAAATGCTGATGAGAATGTGGAGAGACTGGGACCCTTCCTTATGCACTGCTGGCGGGACTGTAAAATGGTACAACCACTGTAGAAACAGTATGGCACTGTCTTAGTAAGTTGGAAATAGGAATACCATATGATGCAGCAACCTCACTACTAGGTACATATCCTAGAGAAATAAGAGACATGACATGAATAGACACATGAATCACCACGTTCGTGTCAGCATTATTCACAATAGTGAAACGATGGAAATAACCTAAATCCCCATCAATGGAAGACTGGATGAAGAAACTATGGTTCATAAACACAATGGAATATTATACAATGTTAACATTCAAAGTTCACATGGAAACAATTAGTCTAATGGACTATGTGAACGGCAGTCTCCCAGATCCCATGACCAGAAGAACCAGATGGTGCCTGACTACCACGCTGAGTGCTCTGTAAGGGATCACTTTAGAAGTTCCTGGGTAGAGTGGGAGAAAAATGTGGAACAAAACTCAAAATCATAAAAAGATCAGGCTTACTGGTCTAACACAGATGGGTCGAACCCCCGAGACTCTGGTCCTTAGTCACCCCTCAGGCTTGGAACTGCGCTCACCTCTGTTGCTCAGCAATAGACAGGCCCATAACAGGAATAACAACACTAAGTATGCACTCCTTAGAATAGTCAACCACTTGATGTCCAAAGGCCAGCATTTGACCAAAGACAAAGTTCAGAAGGCAGGAAGGATTAGGAACAAAAGATGAATAGAAATGGAAACCCAGGTAGGAGGTAACATATCTTCCATTGTGATGTTCTATCAATGGCATGAAACAAAATACGTATGAAATGTTGAATGGAAATCTGATTTGCTCTGTAAACTTTCAGACAATCCACAATAAAAGGTTAAACAAAAGAAATCCTAAGGGAAATTATCTCTTGATGTTCAACCATTTCAAGAGGCAGCATATGATCAAGAATTGATGGTACTAAAGAAAGAAGTCCAAACTGCATTGAAAGTATTAGCAAAAAACAAAGCTACAGGAACTGATGGAATACAAACTGAAATCTTTCAACAAACTGATGAGGCACTGCATGTGCTGACTTATCTATACCAAGAATTTGGTATAGATTGGAAATTTGGAAGACAGCAACCTGGCCAAATGACTGGAAGATATCCATGTTTGTGCCTATTCTAAAGAGCAGTGACCAAACAGAATGTGGAAATCATTGAACAATATCATTAATAACACATGCAAGTAAAGTTTAGCTGAAGATAATTGTTAAATGGTTGCAACAGCACATTCCAACAAGGAAATGCCAGAAATTCAAGCCACATTCAGAAGAGGACGTGGAGTGAGGGATATCAGTGCTGATGTTACATGGATCTTGGCTAAAATCAGAGCATACCAAGAAGATGTTTGTTGTTGTTAAGTGCCGTCGAGTCAATTCTGACTCATAGTGATCCTGTATAGGGTTTCTGAGAAGTGACTAGTGAGCTTGAACTGCCGACATTGCAGTTCAAATCAACTTTGGAGTCTAGCGCATTAACCCGTGGTGCCACACCAGGACTCTGGGGAGATGCTTACTTGTGCTTTATTGACTATGCAAAGGTTTTCAACTGTGTGGATCATGACAAGCTATGGATAATATTACAAAGAAGGAGTATTCTAGGACACTTAATTTTGCCTATAAGGAGCCTATATACAGACCAAGAGGCAGTCGTTTGAACAGAACAAGGGGATACTGAATAGTTTAAAATCAGGAAAGATTGTATCCTTTCACCATACATATTTAATCTGAATGCTGAGCAAATAATCCAAGAAGCTGGATTATATGAAGAACATAGCATCAGGATTGAAGGAAGACTCATTAGCAACCTGAGATATGCAGATGATACAGCCTTGCTTAGTTGAAGTGAAGAGGACTTAAAATACTTACTGATGAAGATCAAAGACCACTACACTTGGTATGGATTGCATCTCATTGTAAAGAAAACAAAAATTTCCACAACTGATCAATAATAAAGGCTCAAGGAGAAAAGATGGGCGTTGTCAAAGACTGCATTTTGTTTGGATCCACAATCAACACTCATGGAAGCAGCAGTCAAGATATCAATGATGTATAAATTAGGCAAATCTGCTACACAAGACCTCTTTAAAGTGTTCAACAGCAAAGATATCAATTTGAGGACTATGGTGAGCCTGAGCCAAGCCATGGCATTTTCAATGGTCTCATAGGCATGTGAAAGTTGGACAATGATTAAGTAAGACCATAGAAGAATTAATGCATTTGAGTTATGGTGTTGGAGAAGAATATTTAAAGTACCATGGACTTTAAAACAAACAAATTTGTGTTAAAAGAAGTACAGCCAGGATGCTCCTTAGAAGCCAAGATAGCCAGACTTTATCTCTAATACTTTGGACATACTTTGGACAACTCCCTGGAGAAGGACATCATGCTTGGTAAAATGGAGGGTCAGCAAAGAAGAGGGAGACCCCTCAGTGAGATGGATTGGCACAGTGGCAGCAGCAATGGGCTCAAGCATAACAATGAATGTGAGTTTGGTGCAGGACTAGGCAGTGGTTATTTCTGTTGTACATGGGGTTGCTACGGAACCAACTCCACAGCACTTAACAACAACATCAACAACAATGGCTAATGAAGGAGCCCTGATGATGCAGTGGTTCAGTGTTTGGCTGCTAATAAAAAGGCTGGTGAATTTAACCCACCAGCAACTCTTAGGGAGAAAAGCCCTGGCGATTTGCTCCTGTAGAGACTGTTGTTTTGGTTGTCAGGTACTACTGAGTCAGTTATGACTCATAGTGATTCTATGTACAACAGAACTAGTGACATTGAGCAACTTTTCATGTGCCATTCAAATATCCTTTTTGGTACATTGTTCAAATACTTTGCCCAGTTTTGGTTGAGTTGTTTTTGTTGCTATGTTGTAGACGTTTACATGTGTATATGCTTACATGTGCATATGTTTACATGTGTATATGTTTACACACATACATGTTTACATGTGTGTTTACACGCGTGCGTGTTTACACGTGTGTTTACATGTGTATATGTTTACATGTATTATGTTTACATGTATATATGTTTTGGATATTATGCCCTAATTTAAGCCATGGTAACGTAGTGGGTTACAAGTTATGCTACTAACCGCAAGGTCAGTAGTTTGAATCTACCAGCTGCTTGGCTGGAGAAAGATGAGGCTTTCTGCTCCTGTAAAGATTTATAGTCTCAGAAACCCTGTACAGGGTTGCTATGAATTGGAAGCGACTCCATGGCACATAACCACTACCGCCCTCATTTGACATATGGTTCCAGAAAAATGTCCTCCAATCTGTAGGGTGTCTCTTCATTTTGTTAATAAAGTCCTTTCATGTATCAAAGTATTTAATTTTATAAGGTCCCATTTATTTATTTTGCCTTTTATGGCTTAAGCTTATGTTGTCATATGTGGTAACTTAGTGGTAAACACTAGGTTCCAATCTTGCCCTTACATTTTCTTCTAAATTTTTTTTATCATGTCTTCTTCATTTCAATTTTTATGATTACTTCATGTTTCTACATAATAACCCATACTCTCTTACCACATTTATATTTTCAGGACTTAGAATATTTAAAACCCCAGTAATAATTTGATCTGTCTGGCACCTGTTAAATTTATTTCCAAAGTATTTATTATTATTATTATTACTCACCTAAGGAAGACCTCCTCCATGGTAGTGGTAGAGATTCCATAGCTAGCAATGCCCAGGTTCACTTGCTGATTGTCCAGTTCACGAAATAAATCTTCAAACCTATGAGGAGTCATAGAGAAGGATTCTATTTTTCTGTTACTAAAATGCTTTTCTTAACATGGCATAGATAAACATTGGTTTGTTGGCTTGGGACTACCACAGCTACTCAGAAAAGTAGAACAGGAAGAAGGAAATATTTTCTGTAGTAAGTTCTATTAATTTCATATAAATATTTATAGTTTATTGTTAAAGGCTGATGGGCTCGCATACATTTAATGACTAGAGGCAGAGACAAGAAAATCCTAGGAACTCTGAATATCAAATGAGAAGATAAGGAATCGGATTGAAGACCGATTGGAAAGGGAGAGAGAAGGGAAACAGTGATGGAGGAGAGAGCCAGTGTAAGGTCACAAGCTTCATCTGTCCACTTGTGAACACAGAAGGTAACACACATGGTCCAGGACATGCCAACTTCATGGGATCCCTATCAGGACAGAGACAGTGTGGTCAGATTCTGAGTGAAACCAGGTGAGGAGAACATGAGTTGGAGAGAGTAAGAAAATTGCAGCAAAGGGGTCAAGAATACTAATGTTACCAGAGACTGCAGAGCGAGGAAGGAACCAATGAAGGGGAAGAGAAGGAAACAACTCACAAATAGAGAACCCCAGTCATTTGGGTTGAGGGTGCACTCAGAAAGGAAGGCCTATGGAGTGGTGGTTGGACACACTGGACTCTGTATACCCTCTTCCACTGAGTGTCTGGACAGGAATTGGATAATTGACTGTGTCCACCCATAAGTGTACCAGGCACACACATGCCAAAGAACTGGAGCTAGAGAAGTACTTTTTCTTCTGCCTTTCACATCATACCTTTCCAATGACCAGGAGTGAGGATCTCCCACAAGTCCACCAACTTGATGGTGACGGACAACTCTCCACTTTCCCCACATCCAGACTGTACCAAGCAAACCAAGCCCTGGACTAGCAGTGCTCTTGGGAAATTCACTTCTTGTGCCTGGCTGCTGCTGTCAAACATAAATGCTTGCACAGATTGTGCCACATTCCTGCCTCACCCACAGAATGACCACCATGAACTGTGCAACAGGAAGCTGGCAACACATATCTGTGTTTTGTTTCTTTTTTCTAGTTTGGATTTTGTTTTCTTGGCTCCTTTTTTTTCTTCCTTCCTGTTGGTTTGTTTTGTCCCTTTTTTCATTTCTTCATTTTGTCCCTTTCCTTCTCTTCTTCATTTTTACTCATTTTTTTCCTTGTCTTTAAAAATGATTTTTATCCCTCCTCATTCTGACAAGAGGAGTCCTAGTGTGGCACTGTAGGATAAGCACTTGATTGCTAACCACATGTTTGGCAGTTCAAACCCACCATCTGCTCCTTGGAAACCTGACACAGGGTTGCTATGAGTCAGTACTAAGTTGACAGCTCTTAATGACAACAACAACATCTGATGAGAGGAGGACATTGTTACCTTTCCAAACTTTCTAAAACCCAAGAGCAGTTTATGAGAGATGAAATGTTATCCATGAAGGACAAACCAATAAGACTAAGTTCTGATTTCTCCTAGAAACTATTCAGACAAGAAGGTAATGGTATAACAGATGTAAAAACCTGAAAGAAAAAAAAA